AGAAAAGCAAGAAAGCAGGAACAACACAAAAAAAAGAAGGAAAAGGAGAAAAGCAAAGAAGCAGGAAATTCAAAAAACGGAGAAGCAAAAAATCAGAGAAGCAGAAAAACGGGAACAGCAGAAAGCAGGAATCCAAAAAAAAATCTTATCAAACAATAATTCTTCAAATAAATAGCCCTCCGGTACCTAATATGCAGAATTGCGACACGCCTCTCGCTAAATATCAGGAAATTTACTTATCTTTTTGGGGTCACTATGATGTGGCTATGCAGGGTATGCAGGAAATCATTCTGACACAGGTATAAAACCACGCATCAACTTGTCCGATTAGTTTGACCTGCAGTCGTCACTGTTTACTGCTTGGTTGCAGTTTCACTCCATCCAAAAAGTTTGAAGTGTGAGTTGGATGAAGCATCCCATGTTGCTGGAAAGTAAACAATCGATTAAACAACCATCTGATGCCACTAAATGTTAAACTAGCCGTGTCACCTCTAAGTCACTCAGCCTATGCCAAATGCATCTGATCTACTCAATGCAAGTTGATATCCGTGGTCCTTCCTGAAACCTTCAGCACCTTCTTTCCAGGGTCTACGCTGACCGTCTATCCATTTCTACTGTAACTACTGTATCCCTTTCTATCCTTGTAGCCATCTATCGAATCTATGTATCGATCCGTCCGTCCATCCATCCACCTAATCATCCAATCAACCAATCAATCGATCAATCAATCAATCAATCAGTCAGTCAAATCAAATACATAAATGATACATAAAGAAATGAATAACACAATCAATCAATCAATCAACCAACCAATCAACCAACCAATCAAACAATCAATCAAACAATCAGTCAATCAATCAATCAATCAAACAATCAAGCAGTCAATCAATCAATCAAACAATCAAGCAGTCAATCAATCAATCAATCAATCAGTCAGTCAGTCAATCAATCAATCAATCAATCAATCAATCAATCAATCAATCATCACCACCACATCACCATCACCATCATCACCATCACCATCATCATTTTTTGTTTGGAAAGCATCCTGAAAGTCACCATGAAGCAATCAAGCCTTTTTGGAACAACTCAATTCATTCACCGCTTTCCACCGAACAAAAATCTGCAGCCCGGGGGCTGTATCATCCGAAGCGCTCCCATGGTCGTTCGGTCGTGTGACCTCCCATTGGGTGTGTAGGGGACCCTCCGATATTTGTGTTCGATGGTTTCTGACAAGGCTCGGGGAAGCAACATGAAGCAACCATGAGATTGCGGGAAGCTACAATGATGGGGCCCCAAAGCTACAGATGGAGTTTAAACATGTTGTCAACTATGAAGAATTCGTAGCTCTCCAGTCACGAGTACTAGAGTTATGTAATCTCTAACTTGACTCCTACAGTAACTAGCCCCCCAGTCATGGCATGTACTGTAAATCTTTTGTAGATCTTAGAATCTTTTTGTCTTATGATGGTAATAGTTTTAATTCAATATCACTTGTCATAACTTATAAGCCCAAGAACTTCTACAGAGTTGCTCCCAACACCCCCGATACGTATCGGGTGGTAAAATAGGTAGATAGAACTTGATAGAACTGTAAAATGACCAGCCTATTTTCCTATCCAGTGGCTATCTACCCTTGTGCCAGGTCGGCCTCCTCCCATCTCGGCAACGCGGCAAAGATAGGCCATGCCTCGTTTTTTCTTTTTAATATCTGACCAAGAATCAGAAAAGAGTGGATCAATCGATCGACTTTAAGTGAACAATTAAGCATATTGGGGTGTTTGGCATTGTTTTTTTTCAATCAAAATTAGGAAATTCGGAGTTTCCTTCGAATTGCGCCTCAGTCTGGGGTGAATTTTCCATGTGCTAAATGATGTTCAGTTATTTCAATTTCTAAATGTTCTAAATGAATCAAATTGAGGAATTCTGACTTGACTCTATCTGGGCCGGACATCCCGGATGTTTGTTACCCTAGATGACCACATCCTCATCCCGAATTTGACTCGTTCAACGTCTGACAAACTCATCCAACAAGCAAACTCGAGCAACCCCAAAATAGATAGAAACCTTGGAAACCCGAAAATTTAGCGTGTATATATATATACATAATAACATATCATATAAAATCATATCATATTATGGCTGAGTAGTATCGAAAAATACATTTTCATATAATTTCCCTGTGTTTGCCAACAAAAACAAACAGCAAAAACCAGTCATCAACCATACTGACCTCTGGGGTCGCAGACCAGGGTCGCTCTCGCTCGCTGTGAGAGGAGGCAAAGGCTGGAGGCAGAAAGAGCTCTTTCCCTGCAATGCCATGGCCAGAACACGTCAAAGGTAAGTTGTTTTGTATTGATTTGTTAGTAACTGGGATATTTTATGAGGATATATCATGATATATCCCAGCTGCAAAGCATCCTCATTTAGATCCCAGCTTCAACATGGGGTCGCAGGGATCCCCGGCCACTGTTGGTGAGGCCAGGCAGGTCCAGCGCAACCAGCGGCAACCTGCAGAAATTGATGGACCATCACCTTTTCGGGATGGACAATCATCATACAAAACCATCATGTCAGGTGTCTAGCCTCGCAAAATCGGAGGTTTCCTGTCGTTTTATATGATGGTTTTGTAATGTTCTGCATATCAGTCAGCCACAGTCAGTCAGTCCAAAAATATTTTCTTGCTCTAAAATCCCTTTTTAAAAAATATTGGCTGGGTGCCCACTGTTGGTGAAAACCCCGAAGACGGGGGCTCATGATTCTCGTGAATGCGGCCCTGAAACTATTGGAAAAAGCAGTTGCCATGTGCATGTTCACCAATTGCCAAGTAAAGGTGCAATGATCCTCCGGGTTTGGATCAAAAAAAGAAATCATTAACATCTCAATACACAATTCTATTTAAATACACTTCAGTTTTGATAATTTCAATATATTTCAATAGTTTGTAGAAATTGAACAGTTCTATTTTTGGTGAATCATACGAAAGATGACTTCTCTGCCCATCCAAGCGTCAGCATCCCACCTAGAGCTCCACATCAAAGCGACGCGGCGCGGCTACGAACTGAACCGTGGAACTCTGTGGCTGGGGCAGCAAACGCAGCAAACGTGGTGTGAACCTCCCGTCAAAATTATCTAGTTGGCGGTTTAATGAATACCATATTAGGTAGTTTGACATAGCTATGGAAAATGGTCTATTATCCATTTATTAATGGATAATTTACCTATTAAAAATTGTGATTTTCCACAAGAACGTTTGATTACCAAACTACGGTATTTCATGGTTGTATAATGGGTATACAGTTATACAATAGAATATAACTTTCCAACCATATGGCAGATATAACTCACAGTTTTTTTTTTGGGGGGGTTAACCATTCAAGGGGATGAATGGGGATGGAGAAAAACCCCAGCAATCACCTCCATTGGTACCAACTGCAGGCTCTACCAGTGTTTTTCTGTGGTCATTTTGGGATCACTTGATCACTTGCACAGGTACCATCCAATGCAACGGTGGGGAAATGAGAGTTATGCAGTAGATACGAGTATAAACTTGGAAACCGGCATAGGGGCAGTCCACTCACGAGAGTTGGGGCGGTGGAGCATTGACAAATATCACACGAGAAGTTCATGGGTAGAATTTTCGGGAAACCAACACTTGTGGTACTATCGAGAGCTTTGAAAGGAGGAGAGTGGACACATGAGGACAGCACTTCTTGAGTAAAACAATAACAAGATACCAATTTCTACCAAATGTTTCAGCTACCGCAGGCTTTTCAACAAAAAAGGCTGCAACCTGCGGGAATTGAAGGGATTTGTTGTGCCGGTAGCATCATGCATTAAGCTGCATGCCATTGACCACTCTTTCCGAACTTTGCAAGAGGACATGTCACATGCCCTAGGTTTATACCCCCAGAAGTGAGAGTTGTGTCAGAATCTCACTCTTTCCACCAGAACAGTCGCTTCAGAGTCAACATAATCAGGTAGTTTAGTGAAGCTCTTCTACCAAAATTGGCTGAACCTGCAGCCCTCCAGCACTCTTGGGTTCCACATTTTCACAAATAGCCAGGCATGCACGGAAGTCGCGTTGGGTTACCGTCGGTGTGAAACTTGCCTTTGGCAAACTTACCGCATCTCGGTTGTCAAATCAGGTTGACTAAATTAAATGATAGAATCCGTGTCCATGCTGTGGCATGGCAAGAGACTACACTGTCTACATGTGTACATACGAGTGGATGGAGTGCGAGTGGATACACCTTTCTGTATTGTAAAAAAATCTAAAGATCTCTACACCATTCAACACCAACACAGGTTTGTTTCCTGCACTTGTCATTCAGAATATGGTCATCAGCGGAAATCATTTGCAGCTGGCCCAGCATCAGGAATTGGGGTCAGCCTCGGTAGGGTACTGAACACTGAAAGCACTAACCAAATCGGATTTCGGGGTATGAGTGATTCACTCTGCGCATCGTCCTACAACATCCGCACGAAGGAATGGACTAGGCGCCTAACTCTGCTTTCAAGCTTGACCATCCTGCAATACCAGCGATGGTGAAATGAACAAGGACAGGTGTCAAGCTGTAACATCCTCATTGACAAACGATATCCTGCTTGGTTGGGCTTTCCATTCGGATGTTTATTGCTTCTATCCTCTTCTTTGTTGATCACATGTCCAGTTCCTCTTGATCACAATCCCTTGTTCATCACATGTTTCATCATTTTCCTGAATCAATCATATGACTATATCATACTATATCATAACATTAGTGCCTATGTGGAACAATGCTTCCAGGATAATAGTTCGATAATATTTATCCACCAGGTTTCCAACTTTTCTGTCTATTTTTTTGGGTACTAACTATAAATGTATACCACATGAATTCATAGTTTAATCCCATTTTTCATACCACTAAATCTCACTAAATCCATCTAAATCCCATTGTTGACCACATACTTCACCAACTTCTTCTCTGGCTTCCCCGTTACCGTCCGATCACCTGGAACTACTCGCCAGTCTCCAGCTGGAAATCCTCCTCTTCACCTGGAAGCCACAAAAAATCATGCAGATCTGGGACTCAATGTGTCTTGATGGGCTTTAATTGATTCACAGACCGGGTTTTAATATGAAACCAGGACAAAAAAACCATTGAAGATTGGATTTCATGCGGTTCAACCATCCTGAAATAGGTGTGTATATATATATATAAACATAAAATATTATATACATAGCTTATATGGCCCCCACAATGAACAAATCCAAGACAACTATAGTATTAGAATGGGATTACATGTTTGAAACTTATACAAAACATGAAACCTTTGTTGAAGCATGGATGGCCAAATGGCAGAAGTTCTGGTTTCTCAGCCTTTCAGAATCTGATCGCAGCCAGTGTTCAGCAACTCACCTGGCCTCCAGCTTCACCATCGAAGTACATCTCCTGACACAAAAAAAGGGAACTGCAGGTGAGAAAAATGTTTCCACAAGTCACAAACGATCTATATTAAGCACATATTTGGGCAGGTATGACAACCTGACACCTGAAACATCGTGAAACAGTGCGAATTGATGTAACATAGGTTTCCAGATGATGCAGCATAAGCTGACACAAAGAAACATGAGGTCGAAAAAAAATGGGGAACTCTGATCATATCTTAATATAGATATCATAATAATATACCATGATATGATATGGCTATCTAAGATTCTAACATTAATCTAAAATTTATAATTACATGAAATATCTACAATGGATGGAATACCCTCATCACAAAGGATCACGGAGCAACGGAATCCGTTTCTGCTTCTCGCGCTGAGTGTTTCAGGACTTGCCCCATTTGAATCATTTGAACATGACTTTCTAGAGAGAAACAACCCGTTGACCACTAACTCAAATCCCCAAGAGTATTTCAAGATTTAGTCAATTTAGTCACAACACGTGGGTACAAGTAGCAGTCTGAAAATAGGCTGTGTCCCTTGAAACCCAAAAGGATTATCATAATTTTCCGTATAGGTACTGTAGGGGGATAAACACAACATTTTCAGACACAAACATGTGATAGCAGAGCTCGAGGGCCTCCTGCTTGGCACGGTCTGCCACAGAACGATCGCGCAGGACGATGACATCATTCAAGGGCTTGCCACCGTCCTGGCTGGGTGCCATGGTTTTTGGGCATCCATGGTTTTTGGAATCCCAACATCAGGCGTGTCATCAATCCTTCTGGATTTGAGTGCCCTGAAGGAGCAACACCCCGTACTACTACACCCCAAAGAATCAGGAAGCACCAGCAAAAAAACATCAAACGTCATCAACAAAAAAAACATCAAACGAACCACCAAACACACCACCAAACAAAAACAATCAACAACTCTTATCAATAAAACTATCACTAGGCATCGACAAAAAAACATGGAAAGCATCCAACACAAGCAAAACCAACATCCTATTGCCATCCTACAGGGTGAGGTCCCAAGTTACATGTTGGTTTATACCCTCTGGTAAAACGTTTACATAACTATGGAAAATCATCATTTTCAATGGGTAAATCCACTATTACTATGGGCCATGTTCAATAGCAAACTGTTAGTCATTACCAGAGAGTAAACCCCATGAGGCCCATGAGCACTATAGCCATGGGCGTTCACCAAGTGTGTGTCAACTGAGCTCCACGCCCAGCCACCAAAGATGATGACATGAGGACCTTCGAGGCACCGTTTTTTTTTTGCCAATTGGGTACTGGCTACCATGTTTTGAAGCATTTTAGTAGCAAATGTTCACTTTTTGGGTTTATTCCATGTTATTTTACTTTAATCTGTCAAATGGGGTTTATGAGGGCTGACGTTACTCAATCCCAGTAAAACCACATAGGAAACACATCAACATTTGCCCTGGAGAGTTGGTGTCAGATCAAGCAACCACCCAAACATCCAGTAAAAAGTTGCTTGTCGACTAGGGGTCATGTTCCCAAATAGACATGGATCGTGGAATGTTAAAAAACGATGACACACCCGACCGGCCATGATTTGTGGCGCTCCCTAGTTATGCTGTCGGTTTATATATAACTCCATCTACACTTAAACTATGTCATTTTATCACCATCAACCCAACAGTGATATAGTGATATTATAATATCAATTATAAACCAACTTCGCCATTCCGACTTGGGGAACCTTGCATGATTTGTTGGTTGATCCATTTTACGCCCTTTTGGTCATTCACTCAGATCCCAACCAATAGCAGTGGCTGTGTGCCCATAGCGCTTGGATGGCGGGTTGCCAATGTATTTGTTTTGCACCTGAGCGAGGGTGGACGGTGGCCATCCCCAAGAATTGATCGTCTAAATTGTTGAGTAAGTGAGCTTACAATAGCTTCTACATAGCATTTTTAAGAGTGGAACCTGAATTTTGTCACAAGATTACCTAAAATGAGCAAAAATAGCAATATCTTCATGGTATTCTAGAACTTTGAGAGCTGTGAAATCTTAATCTTTACAATTTACAATTCTTTTCAGAATTTTCCAGCGTTAAGTTTTAAGATTTTAAAATGTTCACTGCATGGCACACGGAAACAACGACGAGAGTTCGGATTCACCAGGTTCCGGGCCCATTGCATGTCGGAGGTGCGCAGAGTCATGCCTGAAAAACCCAGCGTGAGCATCCACAGTTTCATCTGTTTTTATAGGTGGAAAAGGTTTATTTAACATATTCAACTATATTTATGGACCCCACAAAATTGATCTTTATGGTGTTTTTGTATCTTTGTGGTCTTTATATTGGAATGAAAGGGATCTACCACATCAAAAAGATGATGGATCCAGCATCCTGAGACCCCAACAAAATTCACATGTCTCCTCTGCAGGCTTCTCCTTTTCTTCTTCATCAACCACCTGGCAAACTGGGAACGGACGAACTAAGGTTGTTACATGTTGTTTGTCCCAATCATCGTGAGCTTGGGGCCCTTGTCTTGTAATTACACATGTGGCACTTCAAGAAATTTATCAGGTCTGTGAACTGTGGCTATAGTGGAATATAAATACATTAATAATTACATCTAAATACACTTAAATACATCTAGATACTACATCAAATATCATAAAACATCATGAAACTACACTGCTTTGAAATTCAAACTATCTCAGCCATCTATGATGCTGGATGTGGCCGGAAACTCTCCCTCTCTTCGAGGCGGCCACGGCACCTTCTCCCTTAGGGCAAAGGTGACGCTGGCGGCCTCCGAAAACAGTGGGGTTGCTGGCCATGGAAGATCCCCCAACTGTGGATTATTTTGTTGGTCCAACACGGCTGAAACTTTGAAACTTCAAACCAGAAACCAACTGTGAACCTAAAGGTGTTCACGATAAATCTTGAGTGGTTGCACACCCTGCTCGAAAGTTTGCTTTACCTCAATTCACCTGCACAAAACCAGGCTGAAGACTCACTCAGCACGACAATACAATTCATCAGCCTGGCTGCTAGTGCCACTCCAACCTGCGCAAGTCAAGTAACATTGCGATGATGCAACCGATGGAAAACACACACACATATATATAATATATATAAATATAATATAAATAATATATATATATAATATAAAAAATATAATATATATATATAAAGAAATATATTTAAACAATACATATATATAAAATATATAATATATATTAAATATATAATAAATATTTCATATAATATAATATATATATATTATATTTAAAATATGTATAATTTATATAATATATTATATATATAAAATAAGAATATTATACATAAATTTCAAACAATATAATATAATAAATATATGAAATATAATATAATATAAATATATATAAATACATATTAATACAAAATATATAACATATAATAAATATTATATATTATATTTATTATTGATATAATATATATATAATAAAATACATCCAATATATAGTATATATTATATATACAATATACATTATATATAATATAAATAACATATAATATAAATAACATATAATATAAATAATATAATATATATATAACATAATATATATATATAATATAAAATATAATATATAATATATATATAATATAATATTATATATATAATATATTTTATCTATATTATATATATTATATAATATATATAATATATATAATATATGTAATATATGTAATATATATAATATATATAATATATATAATATATATAATATAAATAATATGTATAATATATAATATATATATAATAAATAAAATATAATAAATACAATATATAAAAAATAAATATAATATATAATATATATAATATATAAAATATAAAACATATAATATATATATATATATTATATAATATAATACTATATATATAATATATATTATATATAATATATATATAATATATATATATGATAAATATGTTATATACATAATATATTATATATATTTATTATATTATATATATTATATAATATATAAATATTATATAATATGTAATATATAGTATATTTAAAATATGTGATATATAATTGTCTATATGTATATGCATGCGCACACACACATAATTACACACACACAAAAAACATACTAAAGACTGTATCTCCCTAGCATTTACTATATAATCATTACAAACCACCCAAAGCTGACTTCAAGAGATCAAACCAGGTGAAGTCATTCATCATGACAGAGATTCCTCATAACGGGTAGAGTACATTATATAACACCCATAAATGGGATAGTGACCATTTTCCTTTATATATGGGAAACTAAACCATGTTTCAGTTTCGGTCATGGCCCATGTGGTTCACCCGAGTTCTGGCTTGCCCAGACTTCACAAGAAGAGGACGACGACAGAAACAAGGAACAGGCGAAACTGCTCCGGAATTTCCCTGCCTGCAATGACTTTCCAGCCGCGTTCTGTAGATTACCCCAAGGTATGGTGTTTTGTACATTTACGGACGATCTCTCCCGGAGGTTTTGTACATCTCATCACACTTAGCCTTGCACGAGCTCTCAATCTCCATTTCCACCGAACAACGAATCTCCCTCCTACCCATGGTTTGTCCGATAGTCGGTCCCCCATAAATTCCACAGTTGATCTTCATTCTCCGCATTATATGTTACTTGAGGAATACTTCACCTTCAGAATCTTTCACGCACACCCCAAGAACGTATCAACTTGGTTAAGTAATGTTAAGTATAGTTATAGTCATATCCCCATGATGTCCCCAACTACATCTGCCTCCAAAGACAATCGCATCATCCTCCGAGAGCGACAAGCTGTGGGAGAAGCGGCCCGTGGGCGGGGTCCCGTGCGTCCGCAACCGGGACCTGGACGAAGGTCTTGGCGAATTGGGACCCCAACCCCAACCATCCCAAGTAATGTTCGTAAAGCAATAGCATATCCACTATACCCAATGATTTATATATATATATGGGATTGAAAAAAGCAATCCATATTTGGGGTTGGTTTCTGGCATTTTTGGTTGACAGTGATAGTTGAAGGATGGAGGTGGAAAAAAGAAGATTAAAAGAAATGTACATATAATTCTATATACACATGATGTCATGATGTATATACAACATTTGAAAGCGCCAACCACTCCGAGATGTGTGCGTTTTTTCCCGAATGCGTAGCAAGTGTTCCCGTTTCACTCTGGGGGTCTGGGGGCTGAGGGTGTGTTCGCTCGACGTTGCGTTTACGTTCGCAACCCTTCGCAAAACCATTCGCAACCGTTCGCAACCGTCCGTGCGATTGCTATATGGCCGTGCCTATGGTAAGTTCTGCAGAAGGGGTCCTTTTTGGAGGTTTCAAACCTCTCGTTGCTTCGTTTCGCATGGCAGGCGTGGCAGTTCGTGACATTCAGACGTGTTTTGTAACGTGTCGAAAGTCGTTTTGTGTGGCAGGCGCAGTACTTTAGCGACGTTTCAGAAGATGCGTTGCAGTTTTCGTGGCAGGCGCAGCACTTTGGACGTGTCCATCGTCATTTTTCGTGGCAGGCGCCGCACTTTAGACGTGTCGTGTTGCGTGTTTTTTGCGAATCGCATTGGCAGGGATGCGTCAAGTGGCGACAAGGTGCAGATTCCGTGGCAGGCGTGGCATTTTGTGAGATGTGTTGAAAATGACGGAAGCCTCGCACGAAACATCGATTTTGAGATAGCAAATTTTCAGGTTCCTAAGAAATCCCGTGGGAAAACGTCGATTTTGAGGCTACATAAGTGTCAAAATTGGAGGATGCCTCGCACAAAATGCTCGCTTTCTGCGCCCACGTGTCTCGTCTCGAGTCTCTGGTGTTCCTGTGGCTTCGTCGTGTCTATGGGGGAAGCTGCAAAACCTCTCCTTTTCGAAGGTTTCCAAGTGTGAAAATTGGCGGAAGTCTCGCACGAAATGTTGGTTTTGATGCTCCCACGTGTCTCGTCTCGAGTCTCTGGTTTTCCTGTGGCTTCGCCATATCTATGGAAGCTGCAAAACCTCTCCTTTTTGGAGGTTTCCAAGCAGGTTGGCATGTCGTTTTGCGTGGCAGGCGTGGCACTTTGTGACATTCCAACCTGTTTGATAACGTGTCGAAAGTTTCAAAATTGGAGGATGCCTCGCACAAAATGCTCGCTTTTCTGCGCCCACGTGTCTCGTCTCGAGTCTCTGGTTTTCCTGTGGCTTCGTCGTGTCTATGGGGGAAGCTGCAAAACCTCTCCTTCGAAGGTTTCCAAGCAGGTTGTCACGTCGTTTTGCGTGGCAGGCGTGGCACTTTGTAACCTCTTTTATACCCTGTCGAAAGTTCTTCTGTGTGGCTGGCGCAGCAATGCACTCCACACTCCTCACTTTACACTCCACACTCCACACTCTACACTTTCCACTCCACACTCCACACTCTACACTTTACACTTTACACTCTACACTTTACATTTTTCACTCCTCACTCCACACTTTACACTCCACACTCCTCACTCCTCACTTTACACTCCACACTCCACACTCCTCACTCCACACTTTACACTCCACACTTTACACTCCACACTCCACACTCTAAACTTCACACTCCACACTCCACACTCTACACTTTCCACTCCACACTCCACACTCTACACTTTACACTCCTCACTCCACGCTCCATACTCTACACTTTACACTCCTCGCTCCACACTCTACACTTTACACTCCACACTTTACACTCTGCACTGCACACTCCTCACTCCACACTTTACACTCCACACTTTACACTCCACATTCTACACTTTACACTCTACACTGTACACTCTACACTCCACACTTTACACTTTACACTCCACACTTTACACTTTACACTCCGCACTCCGCACTGCATACACTTTACACTCCACACTCCACACACTACACTTTACACTCTACACTTTACACTCTACACTCCACACTCCACACTCTACACTCTACGCTCCACACTCCACACTCTACACTTTACACTCCACACTCCTCACTCTACACTTTCCACCGGACACTCCACACTCTACACTTTACACTCTACACTCCACACTCCACACTCTACACTTTACACTCCACACTCTACACTTTACACTCCACACTACACTTTACACTCCACACTCTACACTTTACACTCCACACTGCAGACTGGTAACAGAGGAAATATGTACAAGACTGTTCCAATAAACTGTTGCAGAAAAGTTCTGCGTGACTGCATATCCATGTGTTTGGACATCTGTAAAATTAACATACGTGTGAGCATTCGGGTTCGTGGGCTGCATCTTGCTTTGTAACAGTTCAAGCATTTTCAATCTAGTTACAGTAGTTTTTGTTTTTTGCAATCAAGACAACATAACCAAACTTCTCTGGCTGCGTCCTGTCAGCATATCACGCGGCTGAAGCATGGGCTGCCCGACCAAAGCATTCGACCGAGATCTAGCACACGAACCTCAAGAATACGGACCCAAATATCATCGAACCTACGTCTTTGTAGCGGCAGACAAACACCATGGTTGATTCATATCATAATTTTAAATTGCAGCTTACCAATTGGTGAAGAAACATTACGGACCAATTGGTGTCACTTTAAAGTGTAGCTAAGGTTTTGACTTGTCTCAGCGGATCGCAGGCACACAATTTGTGAACAAACACTACGATTTTCTGCTGATAAGATAGCCAAAGTGTTGGTAATCCATTCGGCATGACATCCAGCGACTTCAGTGCAAACTTCCACAAAATCCACACACAAATCCAGCAATTTTGTCGGCTCTATTCCAAGTATCGTTATACTATATTGTGCTTATATCAGTAAACCATTGTGCTGGTTTAAGTCGCAGTTTTTTTGTACTTTGTTTGGCTGGATTTGGTTGTACATAGTCTTTCATAGCTTCGTTTCGTTAGGCCAACGTTGGTTGGATACACCACTTTGAAAATCCCTGAGAACAGCGCGTCGTTGCAGTATGAATTCTTCAGCAGATCCCCACTGTTGTCCTGCAGTCGATGGTGGGTCCCAAGTCAATCCTTGATTTCCCAACCCCGCAACTTATTGATAGGGGCTTCCTAATATAGTAATATATAGTAATATTACGGCCAGAGGCTGTGTGTTGTTCAGAAGGTTCAAATGGCGTTCAAACATGTTTAAACATTTTCCTTCAACATGCTCAAACACCTGCGCAGGGCCAGTGTTTTTAGATTTCCCAGACGACGAACCCTAAACCCTAAAACCCCAAACCATCCAAAACCCTAAAACCCTAAACCCTAAAACCTAGGCTCTGAAAACTTTGAATCCTAAACTGGAAAACACTGCGTATACGCAGTATTTTCTGCAATCTCTCCTATCATATATTCGACAGCACGACATTCTCAATGTTAATGTCTGGGCAACACACGGCGTCTGTGGGTAATATATTATAGTATATTAATGTATATTATAGTCTATATAGTCTATATTACCGAGAATTCATGTCATACTGTAATTCCGATTTACCATCCATTAATCATACATTTTACCATAATCATCTCTTAATCATCTCATAATCATCCCAAATTGGGGTTTATCAAGGCTTACCATCCCCGTTGCGGTTGCTCCTTGGTAGCAATGTCGGGTGTCTCCATGCAGAAGCCACCATGGACCAGCAGGGACCTGAAGGATCATCTCGATAGCAATCTCCGAGAACTGCGGTTTAAATTTGGGAACCCAAAAAATAGGATAAGTATATATATATATAAATATTATATTATATTATATTGTATTATATTATATTATATAATATTATATATTATATATATAGTTATTTTTATATACTATTCTCACGATTTTTACTGGGATTTCATTTTCTAAACTGATTCCATTTCATTTATCTTTTAACATCTTAACAGTTCTCTGCTGTCGCTGAAGTCATTGGTACTTAGAAATCAAGGATTGAATGATCTTGGCAGTCGTAGCCCCTCAACTTGGATGCACAGGCCGATCGAACAAAAACATGTGTTGGTCAAAACATGGCGTATGGTGTATGATAATCCATCCCATAGTTGGAATTCAAACATAATGGGTATATGAATTCCATCCCCCAATATATGCTCATTGAAAATCTTTAAAAAAGAAACGCATATTAAAGTTAACCAATGTCAACAGATCAATCAACAATTGAGGTAAGGGAAATACAATCCAACTGACTTGACCATGGCACGTCTGCTTCCCAGGCTGTACCCAGGACCACTGGGATTCCAAGACTCTCCGATGAGCAAGGCAGTGTGGCCGCAACGAGGGCTTGGTTTGGGTCCTCTTCTCAGCCACTTTTTGCACCGTTCCATCAGTTCCATCCAACAGAAAATGCCAGGGCTGCTATTGCGAAACTAAATCATATAATACAAATCAGGATATATCTGTGAAACATACAAAAATCAAAAAAAGTACAGTAATCATAAAGTTGAAAAAAATAGTTTCAACTGGGACCACCAAAGTGGTAGTTGAAGGAGGCAAATAGTTGGTAGTGAATTCATGTGGCGTGAATTTCCAGTATTTCGTAACTCAAATAAAGATGCAAAAGCAGCTATTACCATTTTCGTAGGAATGCTTTTCTATCTTTTCACGAGTTGCTCTATATGAAAGTGAACAGTTTGAAATCGTGATTGCTGCTATCGTCAATAATCTTTATATCAAATGTAGACACAAAATCTATAGAATCTAATGGAATGGGATGGTCACCAATCCTGCTTAGGCATACTTAAGAAAATTCTGTTTGCTCTATCTTTTCCTAATGTATCTTATTAACTCTTAAGAGTTATGCTCTATCGGGTGCCCGGGGATCCTAAAGGACTTGGGCGTCGGTACGGGGAGGTACGGTAGGTACGTACAGTGGTACGTACACTGGGTACGGGTACAGTGCAAGTACGGTACGTGAGTACGGTGCGTGGATACGGTACGTGGGTACAGTACGTAGGTACGTCGTACCGGTACAGTGTACCCATCGTACCTGTTTTCAGAAAATGTGGTGCTATTTCCAAAATGTACTGCCTAACCCTCCTAGGTATGTCCACCGTACCCCCCCGTGATGCTCAGATAGAAAACCTTGAATTCATAACTCTTAACAATTAATAAAATGTATCTGAAAGCTATTGTATGTTCTTGACAAGTGAATACAATTGATATCTGGCGAATTCCTGTACCACCAAGCATCCCAGTATCACCAACTCCTTCCAAATTCTGGTATGATATTTCTGGCATCAACGCATATCAACGCCACCTAAGTCTGGGAAGATCATTGATCCCCAATATTTTTCTGGTCAACTTCGACCTTGGAAATAGGACAGTCCTGTGGCTGGAGGACACGACCAAGCCATTGATGCTAAGTCTAAACCTCAGACATTTGGGGAGGAATTTCGAAGCGTTCGTTCTGGAGAGCCATGTGAATACCTATAATATCCTATATATAATATCTACAATCAATCTTGGGACATACGATGGTTCTGACATATTCTGACATATATAGTGACAATCATTTGATTTTGGTGAAACCATCGCTGGATGATGTAATAACGATGTTAAAAACCATGACCAGGTGGGTCGGTGGGTCATCTGGAACATGTCAAGATACTCCACCGTCACTGGATGATCTGAGAGCAGAACAATGAAGGTCTCCAAAATACCTCAACCCCAACCGGCAACGCTTCAGGTTGTGACTGCTCAGTTGCTACCAGTCAGCGGTATCCAAGCTGAATATCTATAAGAATGGGCTTGGAAAGAGCCATCTGAGAAAGGACAAGCTCAGCAATCTCAGCATAGTTCAGCTAATTCGTTAGCTTCTTGGAAAGTTTCCAGTGGTGACAAACCCAGTGTAGTTGGTATAGTCCATGATCAACTTGACACGGACTCAGGGCTACATGGACGAACATGCACAGTCCCAGGGTCCGGAGTCCGGAGGATCTCGGCGACTTCCTATGCACTTGGAAATGACATTGTTTTTCCAGTCAAGACTCTGTTACCATCATTCTGCAGTGCTGATTGGGAACAACAAAAAGTTGGGCCATCCATCGGATCCATCGTAATCTCAGGTCAGGACTTTCCACTACAGGTGCCGCCAAAGACGTAGAGCCGGGTGCCGTGCAGGTTCGCAGTGTGCCCTGGCATGGCTTGGATGAGGAAATGATGAAGTAACCCCATCCCCCGATCACTTGAAATACCTCCCATGACTGGACCCCCAATAGCTGAACAGATCCAATACGTGACCATGGGGGTTCTAGGGGATAAAACATATATGGAGGGGAAAGGATTATTATGATTATTCAAATCAACAGCCAGCTAAAATGCTATGCGATTTCAATGCAAGATCCCTTCAAGCCTTCCATTTTCAGGTCACCTAATTTCCTCAAACTAAGGATGAGCTGAGCCTATTGGTTTCCTGCCAAAATGCGACCATTTAGGTAAGGGTTTTATCGAGCCTCCAGTCTTTGAAAGCGCAAAGCACGTAACATCTCAAGGATTGGTTGACATTGGTTGGTTACATCCTCCTTCTTTGTTCGTCAGTGACAAAAACGCAGATTGAGGCTCAGCTGCTTGCTAATCCCATCCCCCTCAAAATTCCGAAAGATAACTGAACCTCAGAATCTGAGTACCCAAGATGAACGAATCTGATTCTGAAGCAGGGTTTCTAGACAGGTGTCTGCTACAAGTATATAGTTATGTTGGCAGGATATGTTAGGGCAGGGATTCAGTACAGTATATATGTACAGTTTATGCATATATTACAAGTTTGTCTGAAAATAGGCTACCCGAAATTTTAACTCTTAAATCATAATCTTCCGAATTGAATGGCCATCACTGGGAAGGTATACACCCTCTTCAGACACATCCAAATATGATATCAAGTTGGTTAATTAGTTGCATCCCATATCATATACAGTATTCATTATATATCAGCATGTTTGCTTCTTAAACCAGTCGTTTTCAGACACAACCGTTGGGCATTTTTACTTATGAGATATGAGGTTGGGAAGTTCTTCGCATTAGAGAAAATGGACATCCATGGCTCCAAACGGCTCCCTCCTGCCCACCGTAAATAGTAAACTTAGTAAACATCCTACTTTTTGGTATTCTTTTGGTTAACATTCATTTTTGTTGGTTATATAATGTTAAATAACCGCCACTGTAAATCTCTATACTATACTTGTATGCACTTAGTAAATCGCTAATTGATGTGGTAAGTCCAATTTGCTAAACCATCCCCTTAAACTAACCATGACTGGCCTGACTGGGGGTCATTTTTCATCATCCCTGCGGGTATACCGATGGTTTCTTGTAGTATCTTACTATATCTTACTTATAGATCTTATAGCTATCTCAGAATTATTTCATTATAATCCCAGAATTATTCCATAATCATCCCAGTACCATCAATTATCCCATAATCATCCTTTTATTATTGGGTTTACCTCATTACCCAGTAATGTGGTGGTAAACCCACCACGTTAAATCATCCCCAGAATCACCAGTGCTATGGATATAAATGGGTGCTATGAACCATCCTCTTAAATGGTAGGTTTATGGCAGCCAGGGTTTCCCAAATTATTCCAGTTATCCATTCTTCATCTATTATTGTTGCTCAGAAATATACCCACCAGTCATCATGATTAAACAATTAAACCATCAGCAAATTGGTTAACAACATTTAACAACTATCAACCATCATAATCATCATATGTACTCAAATTGTGTGTATGGCATTGGCTTTCCCACCATCTTTCCCACGATCAAGCGATTGAATTGCACCGTGTCGTGCCGAAGGTGCGCCCCCAGAGCTGGGTCCCTGGAACCTGGCCATTGAGACGGATGATAAGCTAACTGGATAGCCATAAAGCCATGGATATCATCATCATTTATAATGGTATTTATATAATTTTATACATCATTTATGATAAAGCCATTATATAATGGTATAACTGGAACCATTGGCATTATAAAGCCATTTGAGCATCATATGGATATCAATCCATCATATTATATTACATATATATGATGATAATCTAATATGATGATAATTGTAAATTTGGTGCAATATGATGGAATTTTATGTAATATTGTAATCATAAGTAAATGATGATAAATGATGATACATGATGATTCATATTATGAAAATTGTAATTATCATCATCATTTATTATATTCGTACATGGTGTCATCTTATGGAGTATTGTAATCATCAGTAAATGAGGAAAAATGATGATAAATGGGCATTGTTACTAATAGTCTAGTTGTCCATTGCCGGGTTAAAGTGAGGGTATCCAACTATCAAGGACACCTCATGTTTCTTCCTAGGTGGTGGGTGATGCTCCAGTTCGTTGGCGAAGTTGGTTTTAGCCGCAAACGCTTCAGTAGGGTCGCTGGTGATGAAATAACAAATAACAATCGTAAAAATCGCGAATTCGATGGGGTAACGTAATGTAACGTACACATCATACACCAACAACGATCCACAACGATCCACAAATATGCACAGGCTGGTGATGCACATCACGTTTACAACCTGCGAATGCAGCAGGCTCACAGCCGAGGCATGCCGAGGCACCAGGTGTGGCTGCTGGTGTCAAGGGCATGCAAGTCGCGAAAGCAGCCGGTCTTCCCTCTGCCGCCGAAGTAGACCTGGTCTTTGTGGGATCTTTGTGGGATCTGCGGAGATCGGTCTGTTGCTTGAGTTTCAGAACCTTTAAGGAATTCAAGAACAAATCCACTTGTACAAAAATGAAACACCAACTGGCATTCACATCACTTCCCACTGAACAACTCCAACAAAAAGCTCAGAGTTCTCTCAAAAAATCCGGTGATCTTTCGGATTTTTTTTCCATGTTTTTTTCCAAAATTTTCCCATGGATTTCATCCATTTTCTGCCAATCTGCCCATATCTGCCCATATCTGCCCCACCCCAGGGCCCATTCGCTAGGCTCCCATGCCACGCGACCACCCACTAGCGCAGCTGCATGGCCGTAACGGGGCTCTGGGGCGGTGCCCCGACAGCGCCTGAGATGTGAAAACAGGTGATATGACAATGGAAAATTCACCGATTCATGATATTTATGGGATTTCTCCATTGAAACCTCCATTGAGTTAGGGGATTTTGATGGATTTTGTCCTTTTCCTGGTATTTCATGTGGGTTTCATAACGTTTCCTATGGATTCATACTCGGGTTTTTCATCTCAAATGCAGGGTTTCAGAATGTTTCATTTGGGGAACAGCTAAGTTGAAGAGTTGAAGACCATTCTTTTCAGACAGAAATCGTGGTGTTTCAATGGATCAGATTGCAATGGCCTTCATTTCAAGTGGATGTAGCCAATTTGAAACCCTGAAACAGCGTTAATCAATAAATATCATCAAATGGTTGACTGGCGAAAACATGTTAAACCATTATGTCAGTTTGGTAAGCAGATTGTTCCTAACTTATGAGAACCATAAACAAGATATAATTTGGTAAACATCATACTAACAACATGGTCAATTCAACCTGTTGTATCGTTTAGGGGCTTATCATAATCAAATGATAGATGATAGATACCAATCATATTACCATCAATTCAGTCAATATTCCAATGGTTGTTATCAATAAATGATTAAACATTCAATATGCCAATGGTCAACCCCTCATATGATATACGATTGGCATGATTATACAACTGGTTAACACGACAAACTAGTTACCACTGGAAATACTGTTCAGGTCAATCTTCAGTTTAAGATATTGGATACTGAAAAATGGACATGATTTGCGATCATCTCATAGGGTCATGCAACATATAAATATATGATTCTATGATAATATATGGAGGTTTTCCCTAAAATGGTGGTACCCCTAAATCGTCCATTTTAATGTGATTTTCCTTTACAAACCATCCATTTTGGGGTAACCCCATTTATGGAAGCCCCTATATCCCCAGTAACTACCAAAAAGCGAGGCGACAAGAGCTGTGGCTTTTCTGGTCAAGTGTTGGAAAGCTCGGAACTAGCGAAAAAACAAGCCATGTTTTACCCCGGTTGCGGGCTTAGCATCTATTTCGGTGAGTCCGGGAATAACAGATCCATTCCATTAGAAATATCAACTATGATAATGATCAATTTTTCAAAATGGTGCAAGAGACACAGTTGTCACACAGGGACTGTGGCAAGTGGACCGAAAGCAATCTGGGCCTTTTCGTTTGCCTGCCTGCTTCTGATCTAATCCTATAGCTCATTTGAGTTTGCCTCAAATGAGCCCTAGGCCTAGGACCCGAAATTATCCGAAACTGGGGGTGCATTAATAGGACCACCCGATATCCTAAAAAAGTCCCAAACCCCAGTTGTCTCTTGGATCTGTTTTCTGGGGCCCATAGGAGGGAATTTGGATGTGGGGGGCCGTGACTGTCACATTCAGCGAGAGGCGGAACGGTCCAGTTGTTTTCGTCGATGTCTAAGATGTGGGTGTCGTTGAGGTAGACGAATCCAGCCTAGGGCCGTTTGGAGTCAAGACACGACCTGACAAGACCTGAAAATTCAAGTCCTGGGATGATACCCAAAACTATAGTACACTGATGTAGATTGTTAGTCACTGACTGGGTTAGAACATGGTAGAACATGGGTCAAAACACCTGATTTTGCTAACCTCAGTTTTTCATATCTTCTCACTGTACCAACGTTGGATCCGAGGAACCCCGGAGCCACCATCATAGTGCCCGCCGAAAATGACGATACGCGCCTGATGGCTGGGTCTCTGAAAATCTCTAGGCTGTAAAGCCACCCAAATTGGCTAAATATAGGAGACATATGGAGACATATCTTTGGGAATCATGGATAATCATGGTATATAATTTTGAAAAGCCAGCAAATGTTCATCAAATTCGATGGGATTTTCATGGATTTGATGGGTACCAGCGGCTAACCAATGCCGAGGTGCTGAAGGCTTTTGAGGATCCGTGGGACCCACCAACCTTGGCGGAAACTGGGTGGCAGGACTGGCTGTTTCTTGGCAGAGTCCAACAAATTCATCAAATTGGATAATTAAATTATGTACAACTCATGGATAAACTGTTGATCACCTTTTTTTGGGGAGGGAGGACACCAAACAGTTTTTTTGAGGTGTGGATTGCATTTAAGAAACACGCAGTGTGATTTTGGACATCACGGGCCCATGTTCCATGATACCTGGTAGGAAAACCACTGGTTGGTGGTCCCCAAGGGAGCCACAAATTGTGCTGCTCGTTCCATTCCATCTATGAGAATTCCTAGTTCCTATAGTTGTATGAGAGGAAAGTGGCATTAACACAGGCCTATGCCACTGAACGATGTTGCCATGAATTATTCGAGAAAGAATGCTCCGTGGTTCACCTGCCTGCTAAGCAAGTTGAAAGGCAGCTGGGGTGCTAATTCAATTATTAACCAGTATTCTACGAGTACATCAGGTTACTGGAAAATGTCTAACCCCATGACATCCTATAACGCCTATATGCAATAGCAAATAAAATGGGTAGTATCCCCCACGACCAATCTTGGTGCCCTGCCAAAAAGAACTGGTTGATAAATATTTCCTTTTACAGGACAGATTCAAGTGGAGTACTCATCCAAGGTGAACTCAGTAAAATCTGGAGTTTTGTATATATATATATTTATACATATATCCTATATCATCAAATAATATCAAACAATTATTGTATATTATCCATTTGTGGAGTCCATAGTATAACTGTATTCTATAATTCTATAATCCATGGACTAAAATTGACCAACCATTTCTGGGTTACCCCCCTGCAGCCATGGCTTCCCCACGTGGCGGTGTGGCCGCCGCGAGCACAAGGCCCTTCACCTTGATTGAGTCTGGGAGCAACCACCATACAACGACATCACCTGTAGGACCCAATTTATGGCCAGTTTCAAATATCTTAATGGACAAAATTAGGCTTCAAACCCTTGGATTTTGGGATATGTCCCAAGTTTATGGATTTGGGGGGTATCCATCCATGGATCTGTAACCATGATTTGCGGAGCAAACGCATCTGTTCATCAGGATGCTGGTTGCCACAAAAAAACACATTCTGGACCGTATGATAAGGACCCAAGCTACACCTGGCCATACGACCCATGACCCACGACGCACCTTCTACTTGTGGCCTCGCCCACTGCCAAAGCCTCTCCGAAGTCAAGCAGGAGCAAGCAATGTATATGTCACCGTCAAGTCAAGTGTCTCTGACAATGCAACTGGGTAGCACTGACAGCAGCAAAATGCTTCCTATACAATATAATTATATATATATATATATGTATACAGTATAAATATGTACTGTACATATACTATATATATATACTAGTATATATATACAATATGTGTATACATATATATATATATAACATTATATAACTATTCTGTTAGTAACTGGGCTGCCAAGACTCTTTATCATTCTAATTCAACCATATTGATGGAATGGTGGTGGGGCCTTTGGGGGGTTATGAGCTTATCATTTAAGGTATCCTTTAAAGGTATCTGGCCATTGGGCCCTTGCAGCAATTTTGGTGTGTTTTTGGGATCTGGAGTATTGAAGGGTCTTTATTTTTGCGGGGCTATGCAAAATAGCTTGCAGAATTTTGCTTATCCACTGCTTATCCTTAACTCTTAGATGAGCCCTTATTAAGCCCTTAACTCCCCAACTCCCACACCAAAATCCAGGTCAAGTCACTCTTGGACCTCCCAAACTTGCAATGAACATCCAGAAACTCACCTTTCTTCTGTAAATGATCCTCCTTGCGTATCCATAGCTTATTTAGGCTTACCCATAGCCCACCCGCCCATAGCCCCCTCCACTACCCCATGACATATTCCAACCATCCCAAGTGAAGTCTCTATCGCCGGTGGAGCACCTCTCCCGCACCACCGGTTCGGTCTCAACGACATCCTGCGTGGGCATTGCGAATGGCAAGCGTTGACCCCCTGGAAGTTGAACTTTTGGTAGTGGTAAACCATGGCAAAGGCCATCCAATCCCCCAAAAAACAACACGAAAGAAATAAGACTATGATGTATGTATATGGCCAAAAATCTATCCAGATTGATATCAGTTATACCATTATATACCCACTCGTAAATCTGGTAATCTAACATGGCAATGCAAAACATGGAAAACCGTGGAAGTCAGCAATTCATGATGATGTTCCTACTGCACCTGGGACTTCTGTTTGCCACGTGAAGTTATCGACAAGTATCAATGACATCATGCTTCCCATTGGTGAATACCTGGGATCGGAATGGGTGATGAACCAATCATAAGAACCAATCATTTAGGCGAGCACCACAGTAGCAAGGTCTTGTTTGACCCATACCCATCTGGCCCATCTATGAATCTATATGATATGGGCACGATGTTTGCCATTACTATGCGGATCATTGCGAGACATTTCCTGGAAAGATCTGGAAAGTATATAAGAACTTGTCCAATGGACACTTCTAAACAACGAGGATCCCAACTCATCCCATCTATTTGGTTGTTCTTTGAGTAAAGGACCCCATGGGTCGCCCATTCTTGAATACACACACAGAGGAGAACAAACACCTATGCACAGCAGAAATCTGAATAGAATGCATTGAGACCTTTACAGAATATGGTCAAAAAAAGACATGACCTCAATTTGACGGGTAAAGACGTGTACCAAAGACGAGCCATTTTTGAGCCCCATCTCTCAACAGCGTTTGCCCCGCCTCTCTGGCCTCAGGGTGAATCAACTTGGAGAGAATGCAGGTCGCAGGATCGCCTCAGCCATGGCCAGAAATTTCACTTCGCCATGTGCAAGGTCTAAAATCTGTGTCTGAAAATTGGGTATTACTTAAATTTAGCACTTGTTGGAAGGACAATGATATTTTAGGGCATCATATGATTGAACACACAATATTCAATGAACACAATAGTGATATTATTTTATGGTATTACATAGTTCTGATTCAAACCCTTAAAGAGGCTTCGCTGACATAAATGAACGGGCTGCTTTCCCTTACAACATGCCATTGTGGCTGTTGCATGTACAACATTCGCTGTTCAGCTATGACTATGCATGGTTGCACATATGTGCAGCCATTGAAATACCAAGGAGTTTTTGCCACTTATGCTGACATACAGATACACGCGTGTTCTCCTATGTGCGGACTTAGGACAAGTGGTGTCAAAACTGGATGCCCCAAATCCTCGCTTAAATTACTTATGTCCGCCTTGAAAGAGAAACCATGGTGATTTGGGGCAGTTGTTTGATGGTTTTTGTCTAAGCCCCAGGAACGATTTGGCACTTCTGGAGGCTGAGGTGGGCGTACCTCGGATTCGGAGTTCAGCTGGTGAATTCTCCCAGCAGTCATCATGTGGTACCATCTGGTAATCTAATAGAGCTATCGAACATGGCCCACGTTTAGATATCACCCGCTCAATGGATTTGGTGGTTTTCCATAGCTATGTCAGCTATGTTGGATTACCAGAGAGTAAACTGAGTAAACCCAATGCCATAAACCTCCAGTTCTTGGGGGTTGTAAGTTATACTATCCACTGCTTGTGAAATTGTTAAGTCAATGGGGATCATCCCAGGATCCAATGGCTGAGCTGTGCGCTTCCGGCCAGTTGAATCGACCTGGCACCCACAAATGCAGCAACAAACATATACAAACATGACTGGGTTTGCTTCGAACACCTAGTGAAGTGAAGTGGATCATGTTTCGATTCTTGGTGATTCTTTTCGTTTGAAATCCAGCATTGCTGGAGGTTTCTCAGACTCTCGTGGTTGCAGGTGGTGCACTGGTTTGGGTTTATATGTAACTGAAGATGACCATAGATTGATGTACATTGTAGAACAACACCAGCCATATGCCCAGTACATCCCAAGAAACCTAGGTAGTCAACCCATGTTTCCCCTGCCGATCCCCAGACGCCGCGCGCACCGACAGCGCCCTGGGATTTCTGTGGTGGGCCTTCTGGCTCAAAGGGCCTCGGAGGCAATGAAAAGCATCAGATATGGGATTCACCTATAGTGAAATATAGTGAACTGTACCAGTATCTTATTTGTTTTTCCCAGAATTCACAAGTTTTGGGTGTTCTTGGGATCCTAAAAGACCTGAGTTCTTCAATCATATCTCTGAACTGAGTATGAGTCAAGAGTGCGGGTCTTCAACATCCTCCAAAGATGGAAGATGGCAAGAAAGTGGTCCAGGATGTTGCTAGCTCCGTAGCATTCCAGAAAGCACACAACTCTCTTCTGGGACCAGGATCCACCAGGCAACCAAAAACGGGATTTCAAACAAACAGAATCACAAATAACGGAGGATGTCCATATCTAGATATCTTGACCACATAACTTATTGAGTCTGCCAACGTTTCGTACGGTTTCGATGTTTTCCTATCTCGTCTGGAATTATGATGCCCACGAGCCGGCCATCTGAAAGCTGGGTTCTGTGGCATTGCCGCTGTCATGCCGCCTAGGCTGGAAGTGAGATGCGAAGGCGAAGCAACCCTTACCCATTCGAAGTACTGTATTTTCCCCGCCAAATATGTCAGATCCATGTGGGCATGTAATCATCGTACGAGATGGTTGAAACATCCAACATGTCGACGAGTCCCCGCGACAGGAGCATCAACGGGCACCGGTACTCGAACATGGGAATGGTAGATACCAAATTGAAAAGGGACAGCATCTAGAACTGGGGGAGATGTCCCATTGCCGGATCATATGTGTTATGGTCAATTGTGACGACCATCCCCGAACGGAAACAGGAAACATATCCAATGTGTTGACTGTGGGCACAGACTTGGAGGTACAGTTGCAGTTACAATTGGATATTATATATTATATATAGCCATAGTTTTAATAACCATCAATATGTATAAGGTCATTACTATATATATATATATATATATGTATATCCATTGATAACTATCAATAACCATTGCTAAGTATTGTTAACCATTATCAACCCATATCAACCATTAACAACCCGACATGCAATCCCAAGTATTCCCTGATGGTAGCATCTGTAGTGTCACCATCCACAGCTGCGACAGGAAAGCCACGCTTGGGGTCCCAGCACCACTTGCCCCGGGGCGTGGGCCCCCCAGTGAGCCGAAACACACTGGCGAAGAGGCAAAGTGACACTTGAGCAGCTGGATTCGAGGTTTTGAAGACCACTATATGGATCTATATGGGTTTCAATACATGTTACTAAAAACTGAAAAATGGCTACTATATAGATCTAGTATCTGAAAATGGGGGACCCCAAAGCCATATAAAGCCATGGGTTTCAATACATGTTACTAAAATTGTGCAACATTTCTGCTTGGGTTCATCGGAGACCCCAAAACCATGGGGATCAACTAGTACTCTTTCTGGAGTGATGGGGATTTCAGAAGAATCTCATCCTGATGCGACATGATACAACCATCAGCCGGGGTGGCCATTGCTCAGGAGCCAGCACTTTTCAAAGTCATCTGGCTATGGATCACAGCTCCGCTAGCTTGGTGAACGTCAGAATAGTTGGCATTTATGGATCTTCATCCCCCCAACATGATATCGTATCATTGATTGATATCATAGGTTGTGACATGTTGTGACCCATCCCCATCTAAGCTCATTGGTCCTTCCGTCTGTCCAGACTTTACCTGTCTTCGGTGTCACATATCGCAGCGGATCAGCGGGACTTTTCTCTGGCTAGGGCATTCATTGGGTTACCTGCAACGGCGAGTGGGATTGGGAGAGATGACATGGCAATGGTATATGAACGTGCTAAACAATCCTAATTTAAACGAGAATAAATCACCCGATTTTGATGCCACAAAAAGGAAGAATCGATATTGAATCGATATTATTGAAGAATCCTCATACCAAAGATTGTTTATGTAGATGTTCAAATCCACTATTTCCACCTCAACGATGAACACGCTTCCCTCAGTGTCGGCACCTTCCCCTCACTTTGTCGAGGAAGTGGAGGAACTCGGGCGACCTCGGCGGCTGGTGAATGTTGGGGTCATTTCACCATTTATATTGTTTCAAAGATGTTGGGCATATGATTGACAAATATTGATAAATAATCTTTGCTTGGTTATCATTGATTCTATTATATTCCATTCCCGTGAAATGAACGAATTAGCTGATTGAATACCCCCAGGACTGGGCCACCAATAGCTGAATAGATCCAATACATTCCAGCATTGTTTCGTTTGCGGATGTTTGGGGAATGTTTAAGATCCTGGAGTTTACTTCCTGAATAGCCGCCTCTGACTCAATATCAACTAGCCATGATAATCCAGGAAACTCTTTCTGAAACTCTTTCTACACTGTACACTGCATAGTGTCCTCCACCCCTTTTCTGCCAGGCTCAGTAACTATACAGTAGAGCTGGCAGCTGAAAATCTGCCATCGGCTCATCACCCGTGGAGCCTTGACCAAAAACATTTGGGGATGTGTACAACTTATATGAAATGATCACCTCCCAACAGAAATGGAGGATTTCATAATCCTCAAAATGGACAGTTTCATTTTGGAACCCCAAAAATAGATGGTTTAGCTTCATTCCATACAAGAAAAATGGCGTGGGTGGCAGTGGGTGGATCATATTCCAACAAATCAAGGTTTATCGGTTTATCACTATTTTCCACACTAAGAATCCCATTGGGTATGTTTCCCCACGTTTTCAGAGCCCCAAATCATATGTATATATATATATACGTATATATACATTGTATGAGTATATCTATATACATGGTTACACCGTTACACCCAATTCATATCCCCATTTTCCTACTTGAATCCACCATTGCTGATGGTAAATCCCCCGGAAAACCCGTCAAATGACCGAAACAGTAGGGGGTTCCACCATATTATCGTACCATATTATCCACCATGTATCCTCATATCCACCATTTAATCCACCATATCATTATCCACCTATATCCTTATCATATCAACCATTTTATCCACCATATATCCTCATTGTATACACCTTAATCCACCAGGGTCCATTGGTGCAATGACTTGCGCCGTGGCACAACTGCCCCCGGAGCTCGTCGCTCATCGCTTCGCAAGCTGACTCCAGGACCTTGCGGAGACGTGGCTTCGCCAGACGAGGAGTCTCAAAAACTATGAGTTGATATGGTTTGATATGGCAGTGTGTCAAAACCTTGTACACCTAGTGAACCCCAAAATAGCTGGTAAATGGATGTTCATCCCACTAAAAATGTATCTATAGGTATTGACCCATAACCATATGTGCGTCTATATGGTTTTAGACATTTTTTTCTACAAATGGTTTCTAAAAAAAAGGTCTTATAAACATGGTTTTATAATATGGTGTTATACTATTTCAATCTATTTCATATGTGCTAATCTGGAACAATTTGGGGATCATTGGTGGACAATCCACCAAATATTGGTTGGTTAATGGGGATTCCCAGCTCATGGACTGTATGATGATAAATCCTCAATAGATGGGGTAGGATACCAACTGTTTTTTTTTGCCAGTGCTCATATGGTCATAGGTTGGGTAATCCTCCATACGTCAAGGTCAATCTCTCATTTCTGGAGGTAAGATTACCCACTTAATCCCACTATCGTAGTTGCTACATCCCCAGCCCTATCTATTACTGCCGTGCAGTTGGCATGACCGATCTTAGATCTTCTGCAAACAAACAACTTGTTAGTAAGTAATGGTAATAGTGTATACACAATATATAATATATGTATGTATGTATATATATATATATACACACATTCATGCACACATTCCCATGTACGGCAAAATAAACACGTATTTTAAAGTACCCATGCGGGTGGTTTCACCCTTCACCAAATATACAACACACCCCTAAATATCTAAATTGGGTCCTAAATATGTGCAAATCCCGTTCTAAATTATGGTTTATCAAGGGCTGTTTCATATTTGGTGGATGGGGTTATATCCCCATTAACTGTCATTGGTTGGTGAGTATATATATATATATATTATATATGTACATGTATATATATATATATGTACTCGTTGATGGTTGGTTAATGGGATTATTCATGATAATTCAATATTGTTCATTTGTTCATTACACTATCATTACAATGCCGTTATACTCCCAAGAAATATCAGCAGAATATGTGGTACCCATCCAGCCCCTTGACCCATCTGGCACATCTGGTCACCTCCAAATGCTTCCGCAGCTCCAAATGTTCTGCCTGCTGAAGCAGGACCTTGCAGGGCTATGGGTTTCCCTTGGCCATAAATTGAGGATAAGTTCAGTGTACCATAGTTTTAATGACAACTCATGTGGGTCTTGGATAGTTCAGGTGAATGGGGGTCCATCCTATCATTTCCTCCATAAACATCATCTTTTTGGTTGGGAGTAGTCAATCATTGAACCACCAAAAAAGTGAGGTTTAACTGTTTGGAAAGGTGGCCAGGGGATGCTGCTTCGCTGCACGAGCTCTGTTCACGCGTAAAACCTACAAACCAAATTGGGGTTGGTTTACGTATGCAAGCCATTTATGGAAATATTGGGCATGGTATATTGTTGGGTTTGCATGGGTTTGCCACATTACTCAACATCTTGAATGGATGTGTGTATATGAGATATGAAACATGAGTTAATCATGAGGAGCCAAACCCAACATCACAAGCATGTTTAGCCATGGGCACTCTGAGACCCTGACCCATGCTGTCAAGGCTGCATCTTGGTCCTCAGATTCGCGCAGCTTGGAGAACCTCCAAGGCGGCACCCTTCTGATCGTCTTGCTCTTAGTCAATTTAAGAGAAAATGCTACAAGTTTGTTGATACAGTCAGCCCTACACTGAATTTGAAGATCAAAAGCGACGTCTCCCGAACGCCACCAAAATACATGCTTGTATAACGGAGAATTATTTGATAATAAAAATCATGATCAAACAAAACAATATATATATATATATATGAATATATACATACTACATATAGATAACAATATATAATACAACATATTTATCAATTGATGTTGATTATTATTATCTATGATGTTGTTATCCATATATATATATATACATACACATATATAGAGGTTATTCATCCATTGAATATCCATCTATCTTTTCAAAGGATACCTTCAGCTGTCACACTTCGCTGTCGCTCCCAGCATCCAGATCTGGGAGGAACAACAGCAGCCTGGGCCGCCATGAAAACCCATGGGGACCGCAGATTGTAGTGTATCTTTAATATTATATAATATAACATGAATACAAATATATATATATATATATATTGTAAGTAACCAGCAGATAGAAAATTCAGGAGTGCCAGGTCAATCGATAGAATAGGACAAAAAGCAGAGAGATAGAATATTATTCTTACCCAATAGGTTGAAATGAACAATTTCCGATCATTCCTGCAACTAAATCAAGTTAAAATGAACAATTTCAATGATTATGTGTGTGATTTACTGCAACTAATTGATATATTTTTGCATGCCAACAGAGCTGGCACACAATCTTAAGGAAAATCCATCCAAAATCACCAAAACCCTTGTAAAGACCATAGCACCAACAGATAGAATATTATAATATTCTATTTGCAAGTTCTTTACCCAATAGGTTGATATTGACTATGTTTTTGAAAAAAAGAAGACCAGCTTTTTATTCTATCTGCTGGTTACTTCCTATTTGTGAACCATCCAATTTTAGGGGTATCTAATTTTGACCGTACATGATTTGGCCACCAAATTTTAGAAGCCAGTAGACCCTCCAGTTGACAGAAAATCAAAGAAAATCCAAGAACAGCCATGTCAATCCACCATGTAAATATAAGCAAATCATGTGTGGATCATCTGGAGATTTTCATGGATTTGTTCAATCTGCTTCTTACATCCGCTTCAAACAAACATCCTACAAGATCCTACAAGTAGATGCTTCAATCCCCTGAGGAAGGAACTTCTCTAAGACCTCAGGGCTGGCGACAAGGCTCACAACGGCCTGCGGCATCGTTGGGATGCATGGGACCGGGGAAGCACTCGGTTCATCTCGGTTCATTGTATTTCGTGGCCGTACTCCACGGTGTCAATCCACGAGAAAATCCGTGGTTACGTGGATTCACCAACCCCAAGTCACCCAAGTCACTGCATACACACATATCCACAAATATGTAAGCAGAACAATTATTATCAACTTAAAACATGTTCATGGAAGCATCTCCAGTTTCCCAACTAAACTTCTCCACTTTTTCCTTCGATATGACGCTGGTTTGCCTTTCTATCAGGAGAGGCACGTAAAACAAAAAAACACATTAAAGATCATTAAAGCAGGAAATGATGGCCCTCAATGAGGCTGGTCATCAACCTGTAGGCCTGCTGTTGGGCAGCTTCATGTTCCCCTTGAGCCATTTGAGGCACCATGCCTGCAATGATCACCAGCACCATGGCCGCTTGAGGGCCCAAGAGTCTGGTGAAAGCCATGATGAACAGAGAAGCCGAAGCAGCAGTTGCCAGGATCCAACCTGCCTTTGACACATCAAGATCCCCTCCGGATTTGTAAAATTCGACCGCCAACTTGGCGAAAGGGGTCAAGAAGCCCAAGCCACATGCGGATAATTCATATTCAATGTCCTTGGAGGTAATGGTGATGTCCTTGGAAATCTCAATTTCATCACGAATAATGCCATGATTTTCCTTGACATGGATGGTTTCATCAGTTGTCTTTGTGGTCTTTTTGTGGACGAAAAAGTCCTTCATCCTTGCTTTCCACCTTGGTGAAGGTGTGTCTTTCTGTTTCTGTTGAGCCACCCACCTTTAGACCAAACAATTCCGTGGACTTGTCCACAATGTGGAATTCTGAATGGCTCTCCACTATCATGTTGCCATCTCTGTTGAAGGTGTGCTCAGATCGATCTTGAACGAAATCATTTTGAGTGCCGATCTTGAAGTCAACATGCGCCCCAGCATCGACTACATCGTTCTCGGGCACATGGACGCCGATGCCTGCATAAATAGCATCTACCTGACATCAGGCAGTTGAGACCCAATAAGATACAGAGGTTTGGCTGCACTTAAAGAATACAAAGGTGAGACAAACACTTGCCAAACATGTGAAGGGAAACGACACAATTCTAGATCTAATCCGAGACACTGTGCCGCTAGTAACTTCGGTGGTTCCGCAGTAGTGAGTGACGTTGCCCGCATCATCATATTCAAAGGTTGAGGAATGCTGACTACCCTCCAGCTCGAAGGTCTTTTGTTTCAATGAAAGGTCAACTCCATCAATTGTGATCTGGCCACCTATGACATTCTCACCCCAAAATACCTGCAGACCTTCAATGTTGGTGTTCTCAAGCAAGGTTGAAAGCTGTTTAAGCCCTTCAGCGTCCAGCAGTTCAGCTGCATGCTCACATAGCTGTTGCAAATCGAAAGCACAAGACCCTTCCACAGTCCATCCTTGACTCTGAGACTCCCTTTAACCAGAGCCTCTGACACAGGGTCTGTGAAGAAAGACAGACCTCCATCTGGGTTGACAATCCCGCCGATCTTCATGTTGTACTCCTCGACTGGGGCTTGCGGGAAAAGCCAATGCAGGAACATGTTGACCAACACCCCGCAGCAACCACTTGCATCCAATAGCTGCTTTTGGTGCGCATCCAAGGGTCAAACATGCGCAACATGTTTCAGAATAAACGTGGACAACAAACCAAGTAATGCAGCCTTCTAGCACCCCATTCCATGTCTGCCAGTAGCATACAATCGTGTGCAAAAATAAATATGTGGGTTATACAATGTTATGACATAGACTAGAAGCACGTTTATTATATACAGTATATGCAAGCATATATATATTAGATTAATTAATTACATAACATTGCATTGCATTGCATAGCACTACACTCCACTCCACTACAACATACTACGACATACCACACTCCAGTACATTGCATCACAGTACATTACATTGATACATTGCATACCGTGATGGATGGATGGATGGACGGACGTATGGATCTATCGATAGATAGCTACCTGTAATTCTAGGCCGCTGGCCAGAAAGATAAAGCTTATTAAAGCTTGTTGGCAGCCAATGGCTGTTTTGGAGTTTCGATGCCCTTGCAAATCTTCCGAGATGGGAAAAACACACAAATGCACAAATGAAATGACTTTGACAAGCATCTGTGGCTTGGTATTCAGTAACTGGCCATCTGCAGCTCTTTCAACACCTGTAATCTCATCCATTTGTCAGAGTGATATGATGGTCTGCAGATTGAAGCTTCTCTGATGTCTGAGTCTCTGCAAATTGCTTGGCGGCTCCTGTCTCTGACATCTCAAAGCTCGCGTTGCCATTGGTGTCCACCTCCAAACTGCAGCCGTAGTCACCAATTTGGCCTTCGGCTGAAAAGCTGCAAGTGGCTGGAAAATTGCCTCCGGTCTGGAAATTCTCCGTGGTCAAGGGGTTCAGTTCATCGGGAGTCTCCTGGGTTGGAAATGATGAGGAGACCAGAAGTGCTGTTTGCAAGCTATCCTTCCTTCTTTCCAACGATTCCTCGACCTGAAGGCTCGAGTGGATTTGCGCCCGCCTCAGGTGAAAACCGGGGCCATAGATGTTGCTCAAAAAGTCCTGTTGCAATAATTTCCCACCATCTTCTTGCTGCTTCAGGGATTGTTCTGTGCGTTCCAATGCAGTCTCATTCATCTTTCTCAGCTGCTGCTGGAGGGGCCGCTTTGCCCGCAGATAGAGGGACCGAAGCATGGCTGCGAGTCCTGTGTGGCAGAATGGAAAACAAGTGGCCGCGCCAGGCGACGACCGTTGCCACACAAACAGAGCCGCAGTCCAATGCTTGATGGCAACGAATGGATTTGATTCTTGCCAACCCACCAAAAGGTACATCAAACAACTTCCATGGACTCCATGGAACAGCTAAATCTTGAGGGTCATCAACCGACGCCAAGCCTGGCAGGCCTCATCAACCTTGGACTGAGCCTGGCCCGTCTGGGTCCAAGAAGAGTTCTTTACGCTGGGGGATTTAGAAATTCATTAAGCACGATTCAGAAAACATCTATTCTATTTGGATTCTGTTTAATGTTAAAGTCGGGAAGTCGGGTTGTAATCTATACCTCATTATGGCACAGCTGGCATATGGACTACGTAGCTAGACCACGCTCTACCGTATACCTTTCTTCAACCCATAGTCAAACAGGTCGCTAAATCCAAGACCTCAAAAAACACTTGTGTTTGCTTCTTGAATCTTGGATGACAACAGCCTCTATTGGTGACCTTCAGAGTTGACTACTAGTGTAAACATCTTCAAATATGGTTGGCAAATCCATCATCGACTTGTGTTCTTGTGACACCCAAATAGTATATACTTCATTTTGGCCAAAAGTGGACTTCAAGCATTCAAACAAGTGGTTTTCGGTATTGCTCATCCTTTCAGTAGCCTCATATCAAAGACTGAACACATCCTGAATCGATGGATTTTGTAGGTGCCCGTGATTTTGGGACACACCCCAATGCAATAATATGCAATATATATATACATCCAATAACCAATATATATATATACATACAATAACCAATATATATATATATACATACAATATATATATATATACACATACAATATATATATATATACATACAATATATATATACATACAATATATATATATATATAGTATATACATATAATAAACATATATTTACACATATAATTGTACATATATATATATGTAATGTAAATATGTATGTGTATGTATATATATAATATATTAATTGGATCTATCCCCAGCTTTTCTCATGAACTTCCAAGCCATAAAATAAATATCACCGCCGTGGCCTGCAAAGTGCTCAAGACCTGGAATAGAAACAGATGGAGCGTGTTCCTTTTTGCAGAAAAACACATGGCAAAACATGTACATGATATATGTATGTAATGTACTGTACTGTAACTCTAACTCTAACTGTAACTGTAAATGTAAATGTAAATGTAATGTATGTACGTACGTATGTACGTATGTACGTATGTCCGTATGTACGTACGTCCGTCCGTCCGTACGTACGTATGTATATGGGTATGGGTCAACATTGGGTACCCCAAGAATTAGATTGTTAATACTGAACATATAGAACAAATATGAACAAATCTGTGGTCCCAGAGGGCTTGAACTGTGGCCGATACCCATATATAAACACTCTTCATTCTACTGTCGAACTATGCGCTCAAGTCAATGTTTACACTTTGACTTCTTGTCTTTTCATTGTCATCTTGGTTTCTTGGACGGTGTACCGATTGACCGAGGCCCTCATAAATCAAGAACCATCAAGAACCAGTGCCACTGAAGATCATGCAATTTTTTGAACCCAGCTTTGTTTCTAATTCCTGGTAAACACATGCAGTCAAGGTGTCTGACCTGTTTAATTGGCACCAGAAACATGAAAACAATCAGAATTCCGGGTGACTAATGATAATTCACCAATCTTGAAATGGTTAAGGCCATTTGGGGATGACTCACCATACTGACCATCATTTATCCAAACAGATTGAGTTTTTCATCGACCTTTGGCTAAGCCCTGCCGTGCACCTCCAAAGCTGCCGCCAGAACTTCGGGTTTCTGAGCCCTTTCAATGGCCATCAAAGCCGAAGCATGCAGCGCTGCCTGACCCCATGGAGTATCACGGGGTCAGGGGGTCATGTCACCACAGCATCGTGGCAAACACAATTGTCCTGAACTTGAACTTCGGCAGCTATGGCAGCTACAGGTAAACGACAAAGTCATGCCTAAGTCATGCCTAGCTCTGATCGGAGCCCTTCGGCCCATCTAAACGCCGTTTCCAAGAAGTCATGCCTAAGTCATTCCTTTTGCATATTTCCCAATGGAACGCTAGCTCGAAAGTCGTGTCTGCTTTACACTTTAAACCGCAAAAATCATCAAAATACCAATGGAACGCTAGTGATGAAGAAGCTGGTTTCTTTGATGGTTTTTGCTTTCTAACTGTATGACAGAACAGCATGGAACGCCCTGGATCTGAACCATTCAGTCTTGCCCAACCACAAAAGCACGCCCAAACTTGTTTTCTACGCCTGCGGCTCAACACATCATGGGGTCTGCGGACATGTAAAACAAAAATATCTGTGTCAGTGATGGGGGCATGGAAACGCCTGAGGCAGTGCTTGTGCAAACTCCATGGAGGAAGGGCACTTTCATTGGCCAAGTTATCCGCAGTACGGCTTGGTACCGGTGGAGATGTCTAGTTGTCCTCCAATAATAAGAGCACGACCAGAGGTGGGTAAAATCTTGGGATGCTATTATATTTTAAAGACTTTGATTATGTTTGAAAACACATTAAAAAAACATGTATAATTATAAACATCTATATAAATATATATACACATACATACATATTAATATGTATCTGCAATCTGCAAAATCATCAAACATCATTGCTCACTTATCCTCAAAGTGCTGTCCCCGGATCCTACCTGAGCGTCTGCATCGCAGTGTAGGCAGGCCAAACTGCAGCCGTGCACCGGCGAAATGCAAAATGGTCCAAGACTCATTGATCCCTGTTGAAACGCCGAACTTGATAGGTCATTGCCGTCAAACGGTTCCCATTTCTTCAGCCAAGTCTTCTACGCTGCTCCATTGATCACGACCACAGCCCAGACTTCCCATATAGGACTTACTGTAAAAATATTTTCCGGCAATCAAATTCAAATGAGGCAATGGAAAATCCCCCATCTACTGTATATAGACGATCCCACCAAGTATGTGGGTTTTTCTCATTTTCTCCCATATGTTCCTAGTCCTATGATTTTTTTTCCCATGACCCATGGATTTTCCCATTGAAACCTCCATTGGCTGCAGGGATAGGGATCCAGATCTTCGGTGCCATGCGCTGCCTCTCTGCCAAGCGCAAGGCTGACCACAAAGCAGTCTCCAGGTCTTGGCCTGGCATTTTTTCATGACATGGAGAGATCTAATAGGATAATATGGTATACTATAGCAAACAAAATATATCTAAGGATATGTATATATATATATATGGATATTGTATATACAGTACATATGATGTGCTAAAACTATAAGTGATAATTAAGGATCAACTATTCAACAACTATTAGTTTTTGATGGTTAGTTTCAATCATTGGGGAATCTAATAGGATAATTTTATGATATATGATATACTATAAGCATCTATAAGCAACAAATTATTTGAGGAATGCCCTCTACCACCCATTTCACGGTAAACTTTGGGTTGAGATTGGGTGGTGGTGTACTTCGATGGCTCAAATGAGGCCACACGATAACTTCGGCATAACTCTGGGCATTGTCACTAGTATTTGCCTTTGAGGATGCTGTCATCCAACTTGTTTAGCCATAATTAGAAGTTGCTGATAGAACGTGTAATCTTTGGTATAGACTGTTATATTTGGTGTTTGATTCTTTCTGTTTTCTGTCCAACTCGTGATCTTCATTTTCGGACTCCTAAGCGCTCACCGATTCTTCCAAGGGATGGTCGGACCCCAGGTCTTGTTCACAAGTGTTACGACTGCACATCTGGATGTTTGGTGGCTTGAATTCCAGATGTCTGGATGGTTCTATGACCATCCCCCAAATTAACGTTAGACGCTTCCACATGGAGGGTTGACAAAAAACTTTCCACCAAGAAAATGGAGCTATTTTCTCTATTTTCAGAGTCTATGTTAATTACCGGATGGTACAAGTATTCTCAAATCACTTTCCCCATCCTTTGGAAACTTCCCCCTTGGACCTTCACCCTGTTCCGTGCCCAAGCCTTCGGCAAGGTCGTCGTCCTAGCGTGGAATACTTGTTGAGATCCAAACAGATCTGGGTAGCGTAATATGGGAGTTGATCAGTATGCTAAGAAAAGGTGGATCTATTGTAACCAACAAAATAATGTATATAAATTAATTATATAATATATTATAATCAAACATCTGAACTTTAGCCTAGCAACAAAATAGAGATTGTTGATCTACAACAGTGGAATATAGAGTGCCAATAAAAGAATTATTTACCAGCAAAATCAGGATTTAACACACTTGGCAATGGATGGCAATGGATAGCAAAAACGAAATTGGCTGCGAAAGGGTGGCCACTTTGAGTATGTCTTGCTCACCTGCTCATTACAGAAACCCATTTACAGTGACCCAAATATAAAGGGCTTTCTGTTTCATTTCATTTCGCTTCAATCCTGAGCTAACAAATCAACTAAAAAACAGTTTGGTTAGTTGGATCCCCATGAGTTGCGGACAAAATTACTTACTACCCGGAATGGACATGGCCAAAGTGGGTGGTCCCCTATCGCTTGTGACGGTTTCCAAAAAAAATTGAAATCCCAAGTCCACTCCCTACTACTTTAGTCTTTCGGTAATTTTGTCGGTTACTCACATGGCTTTGTCCAAGACTTTGATTTTTTCCTAGAGAATTGGCTTTGAAACCATGGAATTTGGTGGTTTTCTCCATCAGTTTCAGTCAACGGCAACTATCCTCGCTTTCGCAGAGCTCTTGGCAACGCTGTTCCAGCCTGAGACCGCCGTCAAGCTGGGATTCATGGGGCCGCTGATCGCATCATGGGATTCCCCAATTTCTGGGGGAATCCCAACCCCTATCAACTGGGGAATCACCATCCTCGTTGATATAATTATAGGAAAATAGCACCCATGTTTTGACCATGGCACCTATGATACTATTGATACTGACCTCTGTTCTCATGGCGTTATTTTTCATCCATAGCCACATCTTGTGGCGAAATCAGTGGTCCTGAGATCCTGGCAGCGGGGGTAACTGAGGCATCAGCCTCGCAGGGCAACAGATCCTGTCCAATTTCCTAGTCTTTTTCACCGCTTCTGGAGATTTTTCATGTAAAGATTGTAAAGAGGCTTCCATGTTCAAAGGATTTCAAGGGTCCATAGCTGCCATAGCTACTGTGCTACTGTCACTAGAGTGCCCCACATGAATGTGGACATCAAATCTGCATTCAAACAAGTTTTCAAGTTCCGGTTGATATTGTTGACAATGGTTTCCAAGTTCAATAATATGGTAAACCCAACAATAACCCTATCACATCAACCAACCATGACCGGGGGGTCTTACTAAACATCATCCCACTGCTAGGGCTATACCCAATCAACCTCTATTGGGGATGGTGTATTGCATTGGCTTTACCACGTTAAACATTCAAGTAATTTAAAAGGTTCACCTTGATGATACTTCAACCGTAGTTGCTCTTTTGGGAACAATAAATCATCTCATTCACCAACCATGCCTGGGGATGCTTTGTAGTAGTTATCAATAGTTATTAGTTCTCCATCATAGTTATTCTCCTATAGTCATTCATTACTATCCCACATAATTACCCGAAAAATCATCCTATATCAATCCATATTCACCCATAAAAACCCATATTCACCCAGTAATATCCTGCATTATCCTACTATCCACTGGGACTGACATGACTTTTCCATCTTGGCCACCCTGTCGTATGGTGAAGCTCCGATCACCGGAGAACCTCCGCACCTCGGTGCAAAGCTGCACTGCTTGGACTCGCTGTCCTGGTGCCATGATGTGCCATACGGCGGTGAAAGAGCAAACTGTTGGGCCAATATATTCAATAATAGTGTTGATGTCAATAAAATATGATATGATTCTATATTATCATGTATGGATGTATGGATGTATGCATGGATGTACGTACATCGTACGTAGGTACGTAGGTACGTAGGTACGTAGGTACGTAGGTACGTAGGTACGTAGGTACGTAGGTACGTAGGTACGTAGGTACGTAGGTATGTAGGTATGTATGTAGGTATGTACGTATGTAGGTAGGTAGGTATGTATGTATGTAGGTATGTACGTACGTACGTACGTATGTATGTATATGTCCATATGCACCAGTATAATATACATCAGAATCTGAAACTCCATACTCCCAAGAGCCACAACTTGTGATTTGATGGCTGCTCTGTTAAAGCATCTATTTAGGGGGGCTCGGCCACATGTATCGATTCTTGTGACTCATCGCCGCATAGAAAGTATAGCAGAATCTCTTCAGATTCTTTTTGAATGAAGTCAGTTTTGTAGATGTTCCCAGCTGGCCAAACTGACAAAGTGACCATACCTATCCACTACTCATTTTTCGCTGAATTTCGGGGGCACGAAGTTCTGTCATGGAGGTAAACTTCGCTGTACCTGGCAGAGCCACCTCAGTAATTTCCAGCAGCAACCCTTGGCAGAGTGCATCACAGGCATACCGTACCTGAGCCATCAGTGGACGGAGGTTTTGACCTTTGCAAACCTGGAAATCATCTGTGTCCTGTATACGATTGAGAATTCAGGTTGGCCATTCAAAGTCCCAGCTACGTACCCTCCGAGATATGATGCAGTGAGAAACCCGGAGTTCTTTTGGATTCAACGACACCAAAAAAACAATGGATCCTTGGGACTTTGTTTGCGACCAACTGAGTACCAAGGAGTACACCTGAACCAAACCACTTTTCACTTGCCTAATGTGTATTAAGTAAAAAAAAACTATTGTGGTCATCATGATCATGATTGTTATTAATATCATATGAAGTCCAAAAAGTATGAAACAACGAATCCAGGAATCACAAAACACCCCTTCCCCTGGCAGCTGAACATCGATCCTTTGTTTTTGTCCGGTCATCCAGCACTGGGACTTGACCTGGGATAGCTGCCATTGAGAGGTCCCAATGGCTGTCATGGGCATGTCTGAAAATGCTGGACTTCACACCCAAAATAGTATCTGTTTAAGAAATTTAAAAAGGGACACTGGTGATTGGCCAATGGATGGAATGAAATGGATTTAGATGGATGGAATGGGGTTCCCTATTTTCCATGTCCCCATTTCTGACTTCATCCCTGATCTTCCTGATTTCTATCTCCAGCCACGGATTTCAAGATGCGGTTAGCTCAGGTTGCTTGTATGTAGGCCAAAATTGATGAGACATGATGTGACGAATCCAACTAACAACTAACAACTCACATCTAACAACTGACAACTAACAACAAACAACAAACAACACACAACAAACAACAAACAACAAACAACAAACAACCACCACCACCACCACCAACAACAACAACAACAGCAACAGCAACAACAACAACAACAGCAACAACAACAGCAACAACAACAACAACAACACCAACACCAATACCACCAAAACCACCAACACCACCAAAACCACCAACACCACCAACACCACCAACACCACCAACACCACCAACACCACCAACACCAACACCACCAGCACCAACACCAATATCAACACCACCAACACCAATACCAACACCACCAACAACACCAACTACACCAACAAACAGCAACCATCAACAAACAAAAACCAAACAACAACCAAAAAACAAACAACAACCAACAACCAACAACCACCACCAACAAGAACAATAACAGAAACAATAACAAGAAAAACAAGAAGAAGAAGGACAAGAACAAGAAGAACAATAACAGAAACAATAACAAGAAAAACAAGAAGAAGAAGGACAAGAACAAGAAGAACAAGAAGAACAAGAAGAACAAGAAGAACAAGAAGAACAAGAAGAACAAGAAGAACAAGAAGAACAAGAAGAACAAGAAGAACAAGAAGAGCAAGAAGAACAAGAAGAACAACACAACTACTACTACTATGACGGCGACGACTACCGCTACCGCTACCACTACCACTACCACTATCACTACCACTCCTACTGCTGCTGCTGCTGCTGCTGCTACTCCTACTACTCCTACTCCTACTGCTACTGCTACTGCTAGTACTACTTACTACTTACTACTTACTACTTACTACTTACTACTTACTACTTGCACTTGCTGCTGCTGCTGCTGCTACTGCTACTGCTACTGCTACTACTACTACTACTACTCCTACTACTACTACAGCTACTACAACTACTATTACTAGTGTACTGCATACTTGCCGAATCTTTTCACTTGGAAATGCGTATGTCAAACGCGTTAAAGCATGTCAAAGCCATACCCAACAAAAACGGTTGTTGTTGTTGTTGTTGCTGATGCTGCTGTTGTTGTTGTTGTTGTTGTTCCGCTTACCACATTTCCAGTTCAATTTGTGTTTCAGAACACGTCCTGCACCTGGTGCGCCACCATCGCCAGAGCTGGTAGCTGCGGTACAACACTTCTCCTGGGGAAAAGTTTGTCAGAATTGGTATCGGCAAAATTTGTTACTCCCATCATCCCCCGATCATATTAATACCCCCATGACTGGGGACCTAATAGTTGAATAGATCCAGTACTACGCCAGGGTTTCCAGGTGGGTATTTAATGTGAAGATGGAATTCAAACGGTGTGTTCCAATGGACCTAGTCAAGCAAAAACAGGTGGTTGATTGAACGGCGCTCAGAATCACTTTGTCAACCATCAACAGCTTGTGACTGACTAGGACCTCTTCAAACAACCGGCCTGTGATGTAGGCGAGGATGGTGCCGTACAATGCATCTCCACCGGCCGAAAGGGTCAGGTAGAGAACCAAAGAACAAAGGACCATGGGTCCTGCAAAAGGATGCCCCATAGTTGGCTCAGTTGGTTTTGGAGATTTCCTCAGTCACGGGGGTACCCCAAGTTATCAGCCAAGTTATTGGTTATTATCAATGGGAACACCAATGGCTTGGGGTACCAATATTTCAGGACACCTCTATATGTAGATATATGACTATATATAGTGTTTCTGGTAGACATCTATAGTTAAGGGGGGTTATAAACCAACTTGTAACTGGAGGTCACCACATTGTGCAGAACGTTGGCTTCAAAAGGGTCCAACGAACTTGACCCAACATGGCAATCCAACATCTCACTCCCACATGAGATACATAACATCAACATGCATGCAAGGATTTAAAACTTAAGTGATCTCAAATTGTAGAGCCTCAACTAATCCCCGTTTTGTCATGTTTCACTGATTCCGACATGTTCATGGATGTTCATGGATGTTCATGGCACATGTGCCAACTTTTACCGGTACCGCGGGGAGTCCTAAGCTCCACAGTAGCACTGCTTTAAAGCCCAAGGGAGCTCGATAGGCGTCGCCCACGTCCCCGTTAGGTTCGTGGTACCTTGGCTCCAGATGCAAAGGGTGGATGGAGTGAAACAAATGGGGCATTTGGCATCTTCCAGTAGCTAAAACACGGGATATATTTATTTTATTTTATATTATATTATATTATATTATATATAATATTATATTATATATTATATTATATTATATTATATACGAGTGTGTATATATATATATATATGGGAATATGTGTATATGTGTATGCATATCTATATACTGTATTATATAAAATATACGTAAGACACAGGCATGCATATGTCTAGAAATGTTATTGATGTTCAGATTGGACCCTTGTTTTTTTCAGGGCTGGAGGTCCAACATTAGGAATAACACCACCGTGAATCAAAGGGGAAATCTTGAGCTCCAACATATTGAAATGGAAATGGAAACAAAAAACAAGTGCAACTCAACAAATCATATTTCATGATATTTCAACACTCATCTGTGCAAATTCAACAACTTCACTCATTTCCATATATATATTATAGTTGCAAGCACTGGCGGTACATGCATCTCACCCCATCGCTCGTCGCATATCGACCCCTAAGTGCACCTGAAGCGGATCCATGTCGCAAACTGGATCAAAAAACTCACCTTGCTGCAGGCTTTGGGCCGTAAGGTGATGGGCATGGATGGGTGAATCAGTTTGTTATAGCTGCATTGGTCAGTTGGACAGTTGACGACTTGATACGACTTGCATAAAAAGGTAGGATCGCAAAATATTGCAAGTTCAAAACATCGTTTCATCTGAAGATAGGGTACATCCTGTGGCAATTTTATAGGCTGAATTTGAATGATGATAAACCATCGACATTTTGGGGGTACCCAATTACAAAAGCCAAGTGGAAACGCGAGACGCTCCTGGGCTCCAGACGCAATCGAAAATCACAGTGGCTGCAATAAGTTCAACGAAGTTATAATTCAAGGTGCCCAGCAATAGCAGGCCAAACACCACCTCGGGCAAAGCACCACAGGAAACCTGGAGTTGACATGGCTTTGGTGCCAGAAAATGTTGGGAAAACCTCAAATTCCAATGGTTAACCATCAGTTTCCCTATGGAGATATGGCATTTTCGCCGGTATTCCCCGTTTTCAGACACTCCAAACCCCTGGGCAACATCACCCTGGCCCTTTGGACCTATCATCTTTGACAACAATAAAGGTGATGTTGAAAATCCACAGTTCACAGGACATACGGGACAGTTCCCCTTTCTCGTATACATTTACTTTTACCATATTTTACCAATATATTTATATATATATACATATATATATATATATCTGAAGGTTTCGGCCTAAGGGATAGGGTTTCCCCTCGCTGCTCAAACCTTAGTGGGCTTTCCTCGACCACAGCCCACGGGTGACCGTTCGGTGCAATTGGCAGTGGACTTCGCGCTCACCGTGCTTTTGCATCTGTTCTGCAGTCCGGGCTGCGTTAACAATCCCCGGGAGTCTGTCGGACTCAACTGGTTCGCCCTGGTCCCAGACTTTGACATCGCCGGCGCAGCCTGGCACTTTGAGGTTGACTTTGCCCTCTTTGTCCTCCTGCACTTTGCGAATCACTTTGCGGTCACCTTTCTACACTATTTCCTGGACTATATCATCAAGCTCGGGCTTCAATTGCTTGCTGTTTATGGTCTTGTGCTACGTGATTGTGATTTTCCTCACGCTGTACACCTTTGTGGGCAACGGCGAATCCTACCCGGCGACGCAGGGAGCGAAAGCTACGTGCTACTGCTCGCCTTCACTGGTATCTCTTTGTCAAGGGCCTCAAGCATCTGACAAAAGAGCAACTGTCAACAGTTCGAAGGAGGATATCCAGCCACCATTCGAGAGATCCCATCTTTCTACGCCGCATCTCAGGAGCAATGTGGAAAGCACAGAAGGATCCTTGGAGATGTTTGAATTGCTCCAAGCTCAATCGATACAACATCAATTGCTGCGGAGACTGTGGAGGGCATTGGCACGACTTCATGGATCACACCTTTGTCCCCCCAAGCCGACAGCAACCTCACAGGAATGCTCAGACGTCCACGACGAGAACCTCACAATGGGGAGCCTCGCAAAGCTCATATTGGGCGCAAGACGATTGATTCATGGCAGAATCAAGGCTGGGACGATTGGGAAGCGACTTCGAACTCTTCGAGAAGTTCATCAGTTCGACAACGCGCACAACCATCACGTCCCAAACAGGCACCCAAGAATCAGAGAGGCAAACTGAAGGGAAAAGACAAGGGCAAGGGAAAGGGCAATGGACAGAAAGGCAAGGGAAAACCTGCCATAGAGCCTCCCCCCTGGTCTTCAAGCGCTCAACAGCCGCATGCCCCGACGTTGCCAACCTCAACGGCACCCACAAAAGCGGAAGCCAAGTTGCAGGAGATTCTGACGGTCCTCAAGAAGAAGGACGATCCAGAGCTTCAGACACTGGCCAAAGAAGCAGATGTTCTGAACAACAAGACAGCCACCAGCAAGCTCCACAAAGCTGTGACCAGGCATGGAGATGCAAAGACTGCTGTTTTGGAAGCGAGACAAGCGAGATCCAATCTCCATGCATCATGGAGACAATACTTGGGCTCCGCCATCGAGACTTGGCGATCCTTCATCGAGGACTTCGACAAGGAGGACACCAGATTGGAGGAAGCCATCACGAAAGCCGATCAGGATCTGACCACGGCGCAAGAAGTCTTGGACGATGCCAAGAAAGCTGCCACGGAGGAGGAACTGAAGGATCAGATCGAAACGATCGAGGACGAGGACGAAGGCTTGGATCGCACGACCAAAACAAGTCAGGCAATGAGGGAAGGCCTGACCGGCATGCTGGTTGGCTTGGAGCAACTCAGAGCCAGAACAGAAGATCCCGGGGAAGAAGCAGTCCCCAAGCGTCAAAAGGTTGCAGATGGCTTCAAACCTACTGCCTTGCAGCCTTTTGGTGGGGCCGGTCGTTAGGCCTTCAGGTTAACGACCAATGGCCTGGAGACAAGTGTGGCGCAATTTTGAAGTGGCACCACACCATCCTCTCTGAGCACAACTTCCTGAGTGAATGGCAAGCAGTTGATGATGCGATTGATCTCTCACTCCAACTTGGGAGTTGGTCCAGGAGACAGCGCTCCTCACTTGTTCCGCTTCCATCCAGTCGGGAGAGACATCGAACAATTGATCTCACTTCACATCCTTCCTTTGATGAGAATGTTGAGATCGCTTTCTTCAATTCGAATGATGACCCGGACTTCTTCAAGTATCACTCCACAGCCATGTCTTTGACTGCACTTAGCTCTTGGAGGGCAAGTGAAGGTAAGCCTTGGAGCTCAAGAAGATGGCGACTGCCACGCTCCTGTGGAAGCACATTGTTTGAGCTCCCCAAAATGAGCCGGCATGACAAGTTCCTTGCCATCTCTGGCATTGTTGACTCTAGGTGCCCTGACCCTAGACCTCGACAACATCGACCAGATCAAGAACAAAATCCTGATCTTCCTGACCCCCCTGGGAGAAAAGAAGAAGAAAGACCTGGTCGACCACAAGAACGTCCACTACACCATTTTCCAAGTTGGGTTGAAAGTCTCTGGAACCTGCTCTTGCAACATGGAGCCACGGAAATGCTGGAGGAAGGACCCATTGTGTATCTGGACAGCTTCTACATTAGCCATCTTCACTGCCGCAAACAGGAAACAAACCGCCCTCTACGTTTAGATCAACATTATGAAGACTGGGCCACACAGATCATGGAAGTCTGGCACGATCACTTTGATCGCAACAGTGCTTTTGAGGTCTTCCTTGTTGATCCTGATCCTCCCGCTCCAATCACGAGAGGTACAGTTGGCACGGTTTTGATCTCACAACATCCTGATGGTCATCAAGTTGCCGTCATGACCACAATCGCAAATGATGACATTCGGGGACCATGGATCAAAGAGATTGCGCACTCCTTCGAATGGATGACACCACATCGGCATGTTCTACATCAAGCTGGAGTCCTGGCGAATTGCCTTGAAATGCAACGTCAAGGACTTGGACGATGTGAAATTCGACTTGGTGATTTCACCTTCCCACATGAACGGCCTCTTCGTCTACATGATGGCCTTGGACTTGTCATTGACATTCCGATGATAGTCACAGATGAGATCTGGAGTTCAATGATCCTACCTCGACTTCAAGAGGCGACAAGGTCTGGACCGTCACAGACCAGTACTGAGACAGCCACAGAACAAGTCCCTGACCACACTTCATTCATGGCCAGACGACCACAGCCACGACAGACAAGAACCTCGACTGACTCGACCTCCAGCTCCTCTGCTTCAACTTCGAGGAGTGCTGAATCGTCATCACAAGATCCACAAGACTGGAGAAGAACAGCGATCTTCACCACAGATGGACAGGCACAATCAGCACTACTTCCTTGGCATGACAGCACTGAGTTATATGCCAGAGTTGCGACAGCTTTTGGAGTAACAAGAGGCGAGATCCTACAACTGTATCAGGTACTGGAACGACCACAAGATCTTGAGCAGATCCAGGTTCATTGTATGCTTCTTCAACGTCGGGAAGAACCTCAGCCAGTACACATTTTACAGTTTATCCTCCTGGACCTTGAAATCACGGAGGAGAACAACATCTTGCCGGGGATTTTCACCCGAAAGGCTGCATGGATGCCACATGTCATCACCAGGCAGTCCATCCTACGCATTCTCAATCTGGAGTCACTTCAGCAACAGCAACCTGAAAGATGTCGTATTTGGCACAATAACCAAATCATTGATCAGGACAGAAGCTCACCGCTGACTTTCGTTGACGGTGACTACCTCGCCATCTACATTGGGGATGAAGACAAGCAGTTCAGCTGCACTTCAAATGGTGATGTGGTTTCATTTCAACAGCATCCAATCCTCATGAAGATGAGAACTTCAGAAGCACACCGAAAGTCACATACGGCACTGGATCTTTGCCCACGACCTCCTGGAAGAGTCATCCGCAGAAGGCGTCAAGCACAAGATCATGATGGGGATGATGATACAGAGCAACAAGCATGGAGAGATCTCTGGACAAGAACAACCAGACAAAGTCGAGGCATCAACAACGAGCCAGTCATGCTCTTCGACACTTGGTATCTCAGTGCAATGAACTTTCCGAGATGCTCAATTTCCAGAACAGCTGCGCTCCCTGAGACAGTTCAGCTCTGGCCACAGCTACTCTCCACGACTTGGCGTGATCGAGTACATCCCCATTGGCCGATACGAATAGTTCATGTATCACCAGATCCACCTCACACGAGACACGGAGGTCATCTCATTGTGCTCCAACATGCACATCCAGAAGAGGCAGCAGTCCTTCTCAGCAATTATAGGGGGGAGCTGCTTGACAGATTTGCTCAGTTAGTCAATCGGAGACTGACATTTGAGCGCCTCCTCTGGTTCAATGACCGTGAAATCTGGTGCATGAGACCTGATTTCTTCTGTGCTGGCAACCATGGACATCAAATGATCCCCACTACTGAAGTATGGGATGCCCAAGACGGTCAACATCTGGAGCTGAACGTGTATGAGCAAGCGGAGACTGATCTGACAATGATGATGCAGCGACACAACGCAGCGCCTTCATCTAGATCCCCTGCTCAAGCTGCTTCGTCAACTAGAAGCTCCAACAATGGTTGCCCGACCTTTCACTTTGATGCGAATGCGTTGCCTTTCATTCCTGAACACAGCCCACTTTCGGCACAGTTGGAGATCATCCAGGACATACACCCTATTTGGGACACTGCCGCCACTGCGTGGGAAGATGAAGAGCGCTCTTGCGTCTTTGCAGTCTGGTTTGTGGATCACCGCTGGCAATGGCCACATGGACGTTTCTACAGACGCGCCAGACTTTTCGAAGACTTCACGCTTTGGTATGAAGTGCTGATCAACACCTGGCGGGAATACGTCCAACCTGGGGTCGTCATTGAGCCTTACCTCGTCCTGCCCAA